GTTCACCATGTCAGTACCTTGATTAGCAAGAAAATGTCATATCTTTGATTCACTGAATTAACCTCCTTTAGCAGTTATAACAGAAGAGAAAATTCCAGGCATTCTTTGTACAAGGGACATTAAATACTGCTCTGTTTCATGGGATGAAAGAGTTAACTAGTGCATTTAAAGTTAAAAGACAGCATAGAATTTGACTGCCATCACCACACAGTTAATAGGATGTCAGACATGCACTGTAGAGTTATGAATGAAATTTGTTCTATTTGACTTATATTTTCATTTATAGTTGTTCACTCAACTTTATAGTGCTTAAGAAGAATATATAATCTGCAGTTTATGAAATAAATGGAAAAGTGTAAAAACCTGTGGTGTGTAAATACTTTTGACTGGTACCATATATTGCATCCGGTCATAAGATGAAAACTATTTAACATCTTTAATTACGTTACTCCAGAATAAGATAAGGTTCTATATATACCCATACATATAATTGTGATTTATAATATACATAAATCATAGGTTTATTGAATAACCATCTGATTCTAAGAATTAGGGTCTCTGACGCCCTACATATTCTGAAAGTTTAAGCGTTTTCTAATTATTTTATTTGGCATGTAAACATAAGACAGTGGAGAGAGCAAATGTTAAGTTTATGGATTCTGTTGATTCTGGGTATCAGGCTTATTAAATTTGACGTTGTTTCGGTAGGGCTATAATTAGCTAATTATTTTACATACTGCAAATATGTCAGTCATCAAACGACAGAATAATAATTAAACGAACAAATCACTTCAAGAGATACTTGATCAAGTGCAATACAGCCCGCAAAGCTTCTACGGGCTTATCCTGACCTTTAATCAGTCGCTTACTGAGATCAGGTCACACATGTGCAGAGATAATCAAATTAGATTCAGCCCTCATGATATATTCGCCATGTTTTCAATAACTGAGCCAAAGATCCCCTGCAGAGTGGCGGTAGTCTAAAAAACAAACACATAAAAACGACTGGTCTGCTGTGACCTCCCCCAAGAAATTTCACTGAAGTACCAAGGCAACGCTAAACTGCTTGCCAAAGACTTTAGCTCCATCTAGTGGCCAGAAAATACAATCGCTTAATGGTTGTAAAACCCCGTTTTTGTTTCCCGGGGGTTTTCAGTCGCAAACGTCACAAGTAAACATTTAACTTAATAAAGCAAACTCGGAGAAGCAGCATCAAATGCTCTCCTGGTGTTTGCGTAAGTTTGCACCAAGAATGTAATGGAAGTGATGTATGTATCAGCGGCTGTTATGCATATTGTACATACATTTGTTTTCCCACGTAGGCCTAGTGCACGCATATTTTAGCACTGTGCAATATACATTATTTTAAGGTGCAGCAGCAACATTTGCAGTACCTACTTCACACTTAAATGGATGTAGCAAAAAGACATTCTATCATTGTACATATTAATTAATAGGGTTTCGGTGTGTATTAGATTGTTAGGGTTATCGTCGATCATCCACAGAACAATTGTTTGAAGAAGAGAAGAAGAATACGCGCCGCAGGCTGCTCTAGTCAGCTGTAAAGGGAGATTAATCACAATAAAGAGATGTTTGTATTGGAATTATTCATGTGCGCCCCCCTACCCATATCACACTCTTTCCTACGCTATTGCATAAGGTATGAGTGTAAAATGCCATGACAAGGGAAAAACGTGCCTTCTGCTGGAGGACTGATCGGTAGATTCTTTCATAATCTCTGTTGTGACATCGGAACAGTGGTAAGAGCCGGTATTGTTATCGGTGACACCACCAATAATTCCCGTCATTAGATTAATGGATTTCTTGATTTTATTGTGCGGTTCCTGAAGGGATCGGCCACAAGAGGGCAGGAGAGATTTGCCTAAACGGTATGGCCTCTTGATTGTGGTCATTCATTATTTACATTATTGACTTTCTTAACAGAACCAATTTGTCAAAGCAGTTTACATAAATTATAGCTTAACGCTTAGTCATTTCAAATCTTAGTAATTACTTACATAACTGAAGGTATAAACCTTCCCAAAAACCATTTCTAATTGCAATAATCCATCCACTCACCTTACGTTAGGGTCGCCGAGTCGTAGAAATAATCACACAGTCAATTCCCTTATAGTTTTCCTCACCCTCTCTCACACACCTCATCTTTTTCGTTATTGCGATTTATTAGTTGTAATTGTTTCACAATGACAAGAAGTGTCACGCCAACAGCGCCGATGTCGGTGATTAATGATGCACTCCAATGCGCCAAGTGGCGAAGTGGACAATTCAACTTTGAACAGCAGAGGGCAGTAATGTGTCCAATTTCAGAAAAATGAAGCCATTTGTCACATTAAATGACCTAAAACATGAATACATTAGAACAAAGATCGAACGAATAATGAGTAAATATATATATGAGATTTGATGAATGCGTAACTTTGTAAAATTTATTAAAATTAGTCACCAATGTTTGCCCCAAAACCTATTTTAATGCTTCCTGTAGAAGCTGAATGTTGGGTGTATCTTGAAAGTGCAGCAACCTACACTTGAAATTGTCGGTTCATTTGGCGTGGAGAATAAAATTCACAGTTCAGCGGATAAGAATCCCTCACATGCTAGGCTGAAAAACTGTGTTACTTGAGCTAGACAGAGGTAAGTTTACAGCCAGTAAGATAGCAAAAAAATAAATAATGAAAAAAACAGAAACAGGAGGCTTATACATCCGAGTTTGATCGCTGCTGGGAATCCGCTATGGCGCCTTTTACCAAATGCAGTTTTCAGTACTTACATGATTGCGGATATTCACGCGATTATATGACCATATGAACAATAGCAAATGCGCAGACATCAGGAATCGACTCACTACATCCGGTTGGGACCTGCAGTTTGGTGCAATCAACAAAAGATAAAAAAAATTAACAGAGTGGATGTGTGCTGATACACACTACATGAGAGAGACTCTTTGTTCTCGTAAATAACTATTACAATACAAACAGCTGCAACGACGACTTCGGAAAGTAAATCTCGGCAAAAGGCTCTAACGAAGTGATCTGACATTGTCAAATGGAAAAAAAAGTAGAAGTTTTTGTTTGAGAGAAATACCCGTAATGGTTCAATCAAATATAAACACAATCACAAGAAAAATATTTTAGGAATATGGTTTAAGGACTAAATGCAGAGAATACACCTCGTATGCGATGTACATAGATGACTGCGTCCCCTTCATACCGGAATTCTTTGTAAAATTTAACACACATAACTCTATTCCTATGACACTGGCTAATTCATTTAATTTTGTGTTTTGTTTTGGTCTTTGTAATCCAGTTCTTTACCGCAACCAAAATTAATAGACATTTGATTTAGATTATGAAGCTCCCCTTAGCCTCCAGAAGTAAAATCTGTCCTCCGTCCTTCTATAGGCCTATATCCACAGCAAAATATGAGTACTTTTGTGAAAGAGGATTCATCTGTTGATCTCGATAATCAGGCTGCTGTGTGTGTGTGTGTGTGTGTG